TCGGATTCTGGTGAGACGTTCTCCATCTTTTAGCCTTATATCCATGCATTGAATCTGCAAATATAGAGGGGCGCTTTTTTTGGATCAGACTGATCTGAGATTGCTGGAAAGCGATTGATCCAAATCAAGTATTGATCTGATCTGATCTTATCACTGAATGATCGAAAATCCGATCTCAATTCAATACTCTGATCTCAGCAATGCATTAATTGAACTGCAGGTATGGTACAAAACTGGTTATTGAGCAAGGCGTGTCTCCGGGTACAGTGTTTGCCACCTTCTGGGCTGTTATGGGAGGTGCCATAGCACTTGGTCAAGCCGTACCTCAGATGGGCGCAATAATGGGTGCCCGTAATGCGGCCACGCGTATTTTTCAAATCATTGATCGGGTTCGTTTCCACTGATCGCTGCAGATCAACTGATCAAGATGATCAACTGTTTCAATCAATCGATTGTGCTGATTGATCCCTATCAAATTTCAAAACTTTACCTGATCTGCTACTGTTGCTACAATTACAGAAACCTGAAATCGACAGTCAAAGTTCGTCCGGTTCAAAAATTGATAAACCGAACGGTGAACTGGAATTCCGCGACGTTCACTTCAGCTATCCAACACGACCCGATACGAAAGTACTCGATGGAATCAGCGTTAAGGTTTCTTTCCACTCATAAAACACTCTATTTCATGATAAATAACACAAATCTTACACAATTTAAATTTCAAGATACCAGCTGGCAAATCGTACGCGTTCGTCGGCCACAGTGGATGTGGAAAATCCACTCTTCTCGGCCTGTTACTGCGATTCTATGAACAATCAAGTGGAAAAGTAAGCAAAACTACATCATAGATCGTCGTGAAAACATCATGAAAAGAGATCTGACTTGTATCTATTATCCAAATATCTGTTATTATACCTTATGTTGTCGTGATCGCGAACAGATCAGTTCGCTCTGATTGTAGCGTTTGATCAGCTGATCAGATCAGTTGATCGCATTACGTGCACTGAAGAACTGATTGCGATCTTAAAACAACCGCTCGGCAGAGACTGAACAGTCTCCGNNNNTGTGAACCTGAGCCAGCAGCCTATGATCCGGCTTGTATCTATTATCCAATTATCCATCATAAAAAGCTTAAAAATCAAGTTCAAATGGGTAATTGGAGTTCAAATTCGAGCCTAAGCGCAAAGCTGACTCTGAAATTACTCCTTTTTCAGGTACTAGTCGATGGTGTGCCTGTGAATGAACTGAATTTGAGATGGCTTCGTCAAACGATTGCAGTCGTTTCACAAGAACCTGTTCTATTCGCCACTACCATCGAGGAGAACCTCCGCCTAGGTGGGTACCTTCTGCAGTGCGTGAATTATTTCTGGAAAATAGTGTCGGAAAATTCGAATCAACCCTGAAAAATCTGGATACCTGAAAGGGATAATCGAGTATCCGAATGATATGTGAAAAATTCCAAGTTGACGACGTCTACTGAACATTTCTGATCGATAATAAATCCAATTCATCTGCTAATATTTTAGGCCAAGCTGACATAAGTGCAGAAGATATGGAACGTGTGTGTAGAATGGCAAATGCGCATAATTTTATCAAGCAGCTACCTGAGGCAAGCGATTTGTGACTGAATCGCCAACTTAGAAACTGAATCCACCGCGTATGATCAGCTGATCTGATCGATCAGGCGGCTATTTCATTGATCTGATTGATCACAGTTGATCAATCGATATGAACTGAATCAAGCTGAATTCCAGGGCTATAAAACACGGATCGGTGAAGGTGGTGTGCAGCTATCCGGTGGGCAAAAACAACGCCTGGCAATAGCTCGGGCTTTGGCTCGTGACCCTAAAGTCTTACTGCTGGATGAGGCCACCAGTGCGCTCGACACAGAAAGTGAACGCCTCGTACAACACGCTATCGATAAGGTCCTTGCATCTTCCACGACCTGAAATCGGGTTTGACTGACCTGAAATCAAAGTCACCTGAAAACGCGCGATAAAATTTCAATTTCAGGCTAGTGCTGGTCGTACCACACTTACTATAGCACATCGCCTCTCCACAATTCGCAATGCGGACTGTATTGTTGTGTTGGATCATGGAAAGATCATTGAATCTGGTCAGTTTTGACGTTGGATAATCTAATGAGCTCATAGGATCACTCACTTCACGCCTTTATATCCTTGAAAGGAAGATTCGCTTCAGTTTCATTCCTAAACTTACACATATCACTGAGTGTTCTCATATGATTCAAGGAACTCACGACGACCTCATGAAACTGGACAGTGTCTATAAACAGCTGGTAAAAGCTCAAGAGATCGAAAAAGCCCATCACCCCGACGGTAACAGCTTCCAATAATCATCTACAACAGTCTCACCAGCATTCAATTTACTCTCATTTCTCAAAAACTGTTCATAACTTAAAAAATTCCACGAGGCACCGTTTCAGAAGTCGTCATCGAATCACCTAAATTGCGCCGTATGTCAAGCCTAAGTCGACGCTCTACACTGGACAGCAGCAACGCTTCTACAACAACACCTTTGAGCAATCGAAAACGTCTGTCACGGGCTCTATCAAACGCTTCTGCAAGTGAGAAAATTTTGGCAGAAATTAAGGTTAGTGAAGACTTTTTTTGGGTGCTGTTCGCTGAGTTATCTCGCTTCAAAACCTCAAATCAAAATCATTCCGTATCCTTTTTAAGGAAGAAGCCGAGCAACACAATGTCAGATCTGCTGGAATCTGTGAAATTTTACGATTTGCCCGACATGAATGGCATTTGCTTATATTTGCACTGGTGGCATCCATTCTAAAAGGCTTCACATTTCCGGCATTTTCGATTCTCTACGGCCGAATGTTTATGGTGAGTGTTGCAGACAGTTGCGAGACACCTTTTCTAACATAAATTTCACTTCATAATTTGGATATTAATTTTTTTGTAGACGATCCACAAACGTTCAGTTGAAATTGTTCATTTGAACTCAGTTACTTGCAATCAGATGATTTTTTCAGTCACTCTCACAACCGGACAATGAAGAGAAACTGAATGGTGCTCAGTGGAACGCGATCTATTTCACGATTTTGGGCGTATCGGCTGGATTGGTCACCTTTTTCGGTGGCTTCCTGCTGGGTTGGGCCGGCGAATCGCTCACCTATCGTCTACGATCGAAACTTTTTGCGCATATTTTGAAACAGGTCCGAGACAGCCAGCCCAAACACCCCAATTCCTTCAACAAAAAAAAAATCCCACAAAGCAGTTGATATTTTACCAAAAGACTGGCGAGAAGCTCAACTGGAGAAATATTGAGCTGTTAGAATGAGTAGAGGGCCGAATGATACAGCAGCCAAATATCTATCGCCATACCCATTCCAGGACGGTGGCTACTTCGATTCGTTGGAGCATGCCTCGGGCAAGCTGACCACTCGACTTGCCACGGATGCACCGAATATACGAGCTGCTATAGATCAACGGTACCGAGACACTTGATCATTCATATAGCCAGTGATCGATAAGATTTGATCATTCGATCACGATTGGAAGAACCAAAACCCAATCAAATTCAATTCTATTTCAGTTTGGCTGATGTGTTGCAAAGTATTTCGGCGATTCTCTCCGGTATAGCGATAGCGTTCTCGTATGGGCCAAAAATGGCCCCGATTGGATTACTCACAGCACTAGCACTCATCTCAGCACAAACCATCATAGCACAGTACTTGAAACGACGCTCACATGCGGACGCTATGATGGTCACTGAACCGTCTAGGGTAAGCGGAGTCTCTTGAACAGTGGGGACAGTGTACTGATAAAGGATGGGCAACGGAACAAATATAATGCGCAAAAATATCGAAACAAATAGCAAAAAACACTTCGTGCGCTGAAGAACTGATTGCGATCTTAACAGCACAACCACTCGGCAGAGACT